AACTACTATCTTTCTGTAGAGTAAAAAACTTCACAGCAGTGCACATGTAGACACTTCTGGGACTCACAGGGGCATGAGGGTGCTTTAGTGCAGGGGGTGCCTGCCAGCTAGTCTTATGCTGAAACTCTCTTGTACTCCAGCCAGACCATCTGCAGCAAATTGATTGGGGGAGCAGCCCCAGGCTGGCAGGATGACCCTCTGGACTCCCTGCCAACTGGGGCTGCTCTAAGCTGGCTCAAAGTGCTGTGCTCCTGGGCATGTGTTCAAATGGCAATAAACTCCAGTTTACTGCTCCTGGGCACACATTCAAACCTGTGTGCCTGTGAGCAATAAATTCTAGAGCAATAAACTCTGGAGTTTATTGCTTCACATTAATTGCATGTGTAGATGCCCAACAAAGCTAGATTTTGTTTACAAATTTGAGTAAGAAAGGTACATTTAATTATAATGACTATAGGGATAATGACACTATCATTGGACTATACTGATCCTTTTTTTTCTTGCTTAGTTTATTGTGTTATTTAAATGTAATATATAATTAATCAAATTAGTGCATATTCTAATACATTTATATTTGTTTTTGCTTTGCTCTTAAATGGAATAATATAGCTGTTGGCCCCTACCATCTTAGTAAAGCTTCTAGTTTTAACTGGAGAAAAATGTATGTCATTACTTGTGATGATGCACCACGTTGTGCGCACCCCCCTTTTCAAAATCTTAGATCTGTCTATGGTAAATGCATAAACAGTCTTTAGAACTGGGTGTTTGTCCCCTCAGCCTGAGAAGCACCTAGAACCCACAGCTCCCACTCCTTAGGTAAATAAGCTAACCGCCAAAGACCCTGTGTTAAAGATGAGCAGAATCACTACTTTTCAAGAATGAAAGTTGATGTGAACTTTGTGTTTTGTGCTTGCAATGTGAATGCTAAGGCAAGCTGGTTGCTCTGAATGCTGAGATGACAGATGTGTCTGAAGAACAGCCCTCAGTCTGATTCACTGAATGAGCTTTAGTTAAAGTGCCCCCGCTGCAATTTTTTTCAGTGTGGGGATGCTGATAAACGAGACACTGGAGTCTGCTGGAGCATGGCAAATACCACGTTCCAGCAGACTTGATTAATTGTAAAAGTAATTACAGTATGTTGGAGCAGCCTTGCTCCTCATGTATAAGCACCCTTAAGCTCTGAGAAGGAGTGGGCATTCTAGCTCTGTGCCTAGCATTGTCAATTCTAAACCACCTCCTTGCACATTGCCTGCATGTTATTTTCTCCATTAACTGTATGACAGTCTTAAATGACTAACCCTATTGATTCAGATTGCATGTGTAGGGCAAAGGTTCCTTGTTTTTACATGCCTCAATGTCTAAAGTCTCTTACAGGTACTGCTTCAATCAGGCCCTAAAGTTCTTTTACTCTGAGTAAAGCCAGGACAAAAGAAATAAACGATGCTATAGCTTCACGGCTATATATCTTTTAACAAGGTCCAAAGCAGTTACATTGTGAAGAAAAGAGCTCTCCTTGTGAATGTGACTTGACTGTTCAGAACCTTTATTAACTGGTGATGATAGACAAAAAGAAAAAATGGAAATCCAAACCTATCCTCAGAGCCCAAGTAAATTTTCAGTGCTAGCAGGCAGATGCATACACAATTCTGACTCTCAGTAAACTGAACAGAGTTCTGACAACACTGGGCAATAAACACAGAAAGCCACAAGGTTATTTTAAGAGTCACTTTTCAGAGTAAGACTGCACATCAAGAATCAACATTCTGGGACTGAGAACATATTGCCATGCTGACTGTGAACAAATCTCTTGGCATGTTTCTGAAAGAGTAGAGTAGCACCCTTGTATTCTGATTTTCATAATCCTTTTATTACAGTTGTGTGAGAGATTCTTTTGAGTTCACAATGGTTACTTAAGCTGTTGCTCTAGTATCTAACTCATAATTTCAAAGTACCTTGGCTATAATAAGTATTGAAGTTGCTATTTTAAATAAAATTCTGGACATAATTGGCATTTTGCCATAAATAGAGACCTTATGATCTAGACTTCAGTTTATACTTAATCTGAAATACATTAAGTATAATATACTCCAGAAACTTGACTCGAATGAACTAGAAATTCTGAGTCAAGTACTGAAATTCCATTGTAGCCTTTGAACTGGTTTTCCACCAGCAATAAATTTTCCCTTTTGTTGTTAAGCTAAATCTTTTATTTTCAAACCTGTTTTAGAAAGAATTTCTGGGATCTTCATTTGGCTTATCTAATTTAGTTTTCTTTCCCTCCTGTTTCTGCCCCATATCCCTTATCTTTTTGGTTTTATCACTTGAAATGATTAAATAGAATTGCTACAGTTCCCATTTGTATGAAAGTTTTGCAAACAAGCATTAGCCTAGTAGAAGGGTCTGGGTTTACAAATGCATTGACCCTACTAACATAAAGGATTTGTGTAGAATTCAAACCTTTGACCAAAGTTGCATGACTGACCCGGTGTGAATCTCGACATATAACTTTACAGGTGTTATTCATATGACGTACATAAACATAAATCTGCAGAGGTCACCCATTTCTACTGAAAACTTTGCATTCAGTTCATTTAGCATTTCAAGAGATCTAATACCATGGTTCCTATTATGAATGGTAAGTCTTGTGGAATCCTAGCGACTGTGATCAGTCACTACAGTGCACATGAAAATGGAGACCAAATGTCTCACCATCAATTATTGCACTGTTTTATTTTATTAATTATCATTACTAGACTTTGCATTTCGATGGCATCTTTCACATCAGTCTGCTGGAAATACACAAATTGTGGAATTGCATCTGCTTGTTTTTTATTTAAAGCCTACTCCCGTTCTGTTCTGTTTATTATTTTACCCTTAAAATGTGCAGGAGGGAAAAAGAAGAGAAAAGAAATGAAACCAGTCCATCCATCCAAGAGCATATGATTGTTAGGTTTTGACATAATGAAGACTTTTTGGAAATGTGTTATGAAGAGTGTCATCACATTCTTTCCACACACTGTGTGTACAGTACACCCACAAATCTGATGAGGCTAAAAAATTCTTTTCTTTGCTCATTTTTTTTCTAGGCTTCTGCCTGAAAAAAATAGTAAAAGTACAATGAAATGAAAATGAGAGAACAAGAGAGATCAGTTAAAGCTGAAGCTGTAGGGATATATTTCATGTCTTACCTTGGCAAAGGCTTCCCAGATTTGCACAACTGGTTGGTTCAGTTATAGGTGTGGGAACTAAGTACGAGCCTTCAGAATAAGAAAAGATAAATCATTACAAAGGCTTTGCACAAGATACCTAAGACCATCATGTCTCAAAATACATTAAGGCATGCAGTGACATCTCTGTTCTGATCTGTTCCTGTGAGAAACCCAATATGCCATTTTATTCGTAGGTCTAATGCACTGCCATTCAGCTTTGATGCTAAGGAATCCAGGAAAGCACCTTTGGCTTGCAAATTACAGTCATATCTAATGTCTAAATCTCCTCCCATGTCTTTCAAGATTTCCATTGGCTTTAGCTACACAACACCCCTGAAAACCAAAATGTACTGCGTGTGCCAAAAACTTTAGGGGCTAGTCTGGCTTTAGTGCCCATGAAGGGTTAGCAAATTGTAACATATTGGAGATCCGATCTCATCTGGAGTCATACAGTCTACAAAATCATCTTGTGAGATACCAAGGAGATCAGCTCTTGTACACCAGGTGTAAACATGAGTAATGTTTTGGTATGTACATATGATGAACAGGGAAATATTTTAAATACATGTATTTACTAACTTCTTCATAAAGATGCATACATATATTGTTGCCTAGAAATGTAACTAACAGAGGAAGCGCTGAGAAAGCTGCCTTAATTAGTCTTTGCTTATCCCTGTGCATCAGATGCATAAGCAGATGCTTTTGCACATTATTTTGAAAATAATAAAGCCATACAGAATGGCTTTTTCTGGCTCTGCTGGGATAGTTGCATTCTTGGCACTAACTCTACCACTTCAAAATCATATTGCTTCCAAGAGTATGAAGCATTACATCTGTCAATGAAAATCAGAGAGACCCATCAGCCTACTTTTAAAGACAGTGCAGGATATATTAACTGAAACACAAGGTCAGGATGGAGCCAAAGGCCCTAAGTCAGCAGCCCTGAATTAAAAGACAATGCAGCAGGATGAGTATTGCTGCATGGGGATCTGAGGGAAGAAATGGCCAGAATTAAAAATACCTTACCATGTGCTGACATTAAAGTTCAGTTTTTTCCAAGAAATAGACTGAATCTTATGGGATAGTGCAAATATATTTGCTAATACTAATAGACTAATAAAATTGTTGCTGAAAGTGGATTTACTGTTGGCTCTGTATGTAACATTTATTGCTCATTAAAAGAAGGTATAATGATCGGGAGGTGACTACATTTTGGATTCCTGCACTATGTGCAACTTATTTTGACATACCTGAGCTAGTTTTAAACTAACTAGCTCAGGCACGGATACAAGTATATGGCACATCTAAAATTCAACTAGTGCTACGGTGAGGTAGTAAAATGGCAAGCTTGGTTAGATTTCTTTGGGATAAAAGTGTACACATACACATACAAACACACACACACAGGGCATGTCTACACAAGATGTTAACTGGATGATGACTGGAGACCCTCTGGGTTAAGATTCGTGGGCAATACAGCACAGGGGACACAACGGTGGGAGTCTACTATAGACCTCCCA